GGCTTTAACCCGGAGATCGGGCAGAGAGCGCGCCCCGGTGCGCTGCTTTTGCGATTGAAAACTTTATTGTTACAGCTCTGCCGTTTGGGATTAATTGCATGCGATTAACATTCTTGGCACTGGGCGTGCAGGGCTTGTTTTGGGGTGGATTCCTTTTGGGTTTTCATTGCACTTAATAAAGTCAGAATTTAAATACTTCTAATTACTTTCCAAAGCTCACAGCAAAATGGAGTGGGTAGGGGAACGATGAAATCCTGCTTTGCTGGTGATATGTTAGGCCGACGATCTCAGAATTAGGCTGCAATCCCCGCAGCGGAAGATGTCATTTGAATGTCCCCACCGTGGCCAGATGGTGCCAAGGCTGGCTGAGAGCATCCAGCCTCTTGTGTGTGTGCGCGCGTTTCTCTCATTTTTTTCTTTTCTTTTACTTTTCCAGCCTATCACTCTCCCCTCAGCCCTTCATCTTTCACATTCTACCCATTCCCTAGCAGACTGCCCCTGGTCACCCACCCCCTTCCCTCCTTGCCTTCCTTCTCACACTCTTCTCCCCTTCTAGATGCTCCACCTTCTCCAGGGGCACCAAACCACGGCTCCTTCCAGCCTCAGACCGAGCAGGGCTCAGGAGAGAGCAGGTGGAACAGGTTCTGTAACGTGATCATTCCTCACATGGAAGCAACAGTTCTGCCAGAAAAACTTGTAGACCCTTAAATCAGACATCTGACAGGTCTCCTTGCAAGCTCCTTGACCTGTCACTATCAGCTGGAGGAAAGAAGTTTTTAAGAATTTGTTGAGCTTTGTTAGGACTGTTTGTCCTGGGGAAGAACACAGGCTTAATCTCAGAAATTGCCAAACTGCAAGAAATCCAGCCACGACAGGGTCTAGGATCTTGTCTCTAGGAGTGGCCAGCTCCAGGCCTGTAACAGAAGGTATGGCCGAGCAAACACAGATTAGTCTGTTCCCATAAAAGACTTAAATCTTTAGGAATTTTGTTGGGTTGATGTTCCTTCTTAAACACATTTTAGCATTAGCTAT